ATTCTTGCTCATGTGCTTTCCCTTTCTTGCACTTCCTCTTATGGAATGATCCTCTTGCTTATGCTTAACTGGTGAGCTGATATAGTTATCTTGGACATAGTAATGTATTCCCTTGTGGTTACACCATCCCCAAAAAAAATGATTGTCTTCCCTGGAGGTCACTCATTTCATTTTTATTTCTTCTACCAATATATCAGGTTGCTTCCGGAAGGTTTGGTGTCACTCCAACATTTTTAGTGAATGCGGATCAGTTGGAAATCAAAATTGCCCAAGGAGCAAAGCCTGGAGAAGGGGGCCAACTTCCTGGGAAAAAAGTTAGTGCTTACATAGCACGACTGCGAAATTCCAAGCCTGGGGTTCCTCTCATATCTCCACCTCCACATCATGACATTTACTCTATTGAAGATCTGGCCCAATTGATCTTTGATCTGCATCAGGTATCAATGAGCCGGCCATTGTTGGCTATGTTCCTTTACATATAGCATATTCTGCTTGATGTTGCCCAGCCATAAAGAAAAACACAATTCGAGTTTCTCTTAGTTTTCAGATCGTTGTCATGTTTATGGTTTGTTTTTCCTTTTATTGTCTTTTATGGCTTTGATCATCCTTGAGAGGCAGTTGGTGATATCTTCTGAGTGAGCAGATCAATCCAATGGCTAAGGTCTCTGTGAAACTTGTAGCAGAAGCTGGCATCGGCACTGTTGCTTCTGGAGTTGCCAAGGGCAACGCTGATGTAATACAGGTACTTGTAATTTGTTTTGAAACATTTATTGAAATGTGTATTGGTACTAGAGGGTGTAATTCCAGAAATTTCCCTAAGGATTCTATCATTCACGAATGATAGAACTCATTCTGAATAGTTTAGAGAGATCACAACAAATAAACTGTTAGTTACAAAAGAAACCTGAAAATCCCATTTATATAACACTGAAGAATCTAGTTTTGTTTTGTTAAATATCAAGCCAAAATCTTCATTCTCATTTATTTCATAGACATTGATTCATTAGATTGATGGATTTGAACTGTTCATTTTCCCAACTAATTTTTTTTTTGTGATGGAAAATTGTTTGAAAAAGGGTAGACAAGTTATACCTGAGAGTACAAATAAAGTGAGTCATGTACCAAAGAAGCGAAGGAATGAGGGAAAAGTGGAGATGGGATAACATTATTAACAAGAGAAGCAGGGAAAGTACAGGGACCATGTACTCTGAATATTTAGAGGCAGTGAATGTGGTCCCCCATGGCAGAATATACACCAGTGGAGTCAAAAATTAAATTTCATCCATGTCATCTGTGTAGCCACGGGATAGGGGATGCTTTCGAATCCCAACAAATGATAGTAGGAGAGTCAACTTCTACTGTAGGTGGCACTGAGAATGACACCACAAAGATCCTCACCCCTGTCAAGAAAGAAGAGACCTCTGATGTAACCAAGTCACGGAAACCAGTAGGGCCCGAGAACGATTTTAGAACCTGCCACCTACTATCCCCGAAATTCTATCGACCTCTGGGCCTGGATTTCCCATGAGTGCCTAGAGTAGTTTTGGTGTTGTGATGTCACCACTCAATTCTTCGTTTTATCATATTGCCCATGTGTAAGATGGATAGCCTGCCACTTTACAGTGATACTGTAGTAAGTGAGTTCCCCAGCAATTCTATTTGAAATGGATGCTTTGCATTACAGATTCATATTTTTTGTGATTTGTTTGTGGCACGTGGCAAACTAAAATGTGGTTTTTGTATTGATATGAAATCCGCATGCACTCCGTGAATTGTGTCATAACATGATCTGTGTTGGGTCTATATTCCCCATTTATTCATTTAGTGCACTTGGATAACAAGAACAGAAGTCTATGTAAGAAACACTTGTGCAGATCTGAAGGTTTAATAGCACCTAGAGATTTGAGTAAATTCTTCTATCTTTTGTGTTTCACTGGTTATGATATAAAGAATGTTTCCACCTTCTAGAAGTGAGTGCAAAATAGCGTAAGCGTTTTATGACTTCAAATGATCTTGTGTTTACTCATAATCATTCCCATTTTGTGATTGACCAATTTATATTTTGCATGATGTTTTCCATCTGAACAAAATTCCTACATCATCTATCCTACACTGGTCTTCCTTGTGGCTATCTCACATCTCCTGTATGTTTCTCTGTTCTTAGTGTGGGTCTTTGGGATATGCACATTGAAATGTGCATTTTGAAATGCATGGAAATATATACACCGAAGGACACCATAAGCGAGTATCTTTCCCCAAGTCAAAATACCTATGAGGCACCTCAAATTTCCTTTATGCTTTCAAAAAAATATATAGTTGAATTTTTTAGTTATCCATGACAATATTAATGATTATTTTCTCCTACTTGGCATTATGAGGAACTATTCAATAAGCAGATAGAATAGATCAACAAATCGTGCTACATATGAACAATAGTGAACTTGTCTTTTATCTTCTGTTATTTTAACACCATCCTCACTCTATTCCTTCAGGATTAGTCAGGATAAGCTGTAGTTTCAGTGCATGTTTTTATGTATTCACACTTTGAGTGATGTAGAATTTTATTCCTAGTAGCATCTCTGTGGTTGTTGTGTGTAAAGATATGTGATTGAGAATAGCATTGTCTTTATGCTTGAATATTCACGAAAGTTTAAGTTGAGTTCGAATCGTTTTTATTGTAGATATCTGGGCACGATGGTGGAACTGGAGCAAGCCCTGTAAGTTCCATCAAGCATGCTGGTGGCCCTTGGGAACTTGGATTAACAGAAACTCATCAGGTTTATCATCTGAAATATGTTTTTATGTTTGCTTCATACATGGCCTAATTTCACAAGAACATTTATATTCAAAAAGTACTTGTTTTTACTTGTGCAGACACTTATTGAAAATGGACTTAGGGAGAGGGTAATTCTCAGAGTTGATGGAGGATTCAAGAGTGGAGTAGATGTTATAATGGCTGCAGCAATGGGTGCAGATGAGTATGGGTTTGGTTCTGTGGCTATGATTGCTACAGGCTGCATAATGGCCCGAATTTGCCATACAAATAACTGTCCTGTTGGTGTTGCTAGTCAGGTAATCTTGTAAATCTTTTTCTCTTTTGAGTTTGACTTGGTTTCATTATTCAAATTCCTAATTCTACTTTGGTTGCTATTAAGAGAGAAGAGCTACGTGCCCGTTTTCCTGGTGTCCCCGGAGATCTCGTCAACTTCTTTTTATATGTTGCAGAGGAGGTGATTATCTTCCAGACCTTAGTGACATGCTGTGTTGAGCATTGACAAAAAATGTGCATGATAAAAGAAAAAGAAATGTCCCAATGAGAACGTCAATAGTCTCCATTAGATAAAAATATTGAATCCTTTCCTCTATCAATTTCATGGTCTGATACATGAAACTCTAATTGCATTTCTTGTGTGGCATGACACCCATTATGCTGCACGATTCAATGGAATCTTTATCTCTTTCCAGGTGAGAGGCATGCTTGCACAACTTGGTTATGAAAAGTTAGATGACATCATTGGTCGAACGGATTTGCTTAGACCGAGAAATATTTCCTTGATGAAGACTCAACACCTTGATCTCAGCTACATTCTCTCTGTATGGTTTTACAGTTTCTTTGGCAACATGCATGTGCACTTGCTTATTATGTCTATGTGCACTTCTCCCCCTATATGTGCATGATTTCTGTGTGACTTGCATGTGAGTTTGGGCATGAGTAATAGAACAGAACTGCTTTGTAAGTTATACATGCCTCTCTGTTCTTGATATGGTATCTTTGTTGGTTTCTCAGAATGTTGGGTTGCCAAAGTTGAGTAGCACCGCAATCAGAAATCAGGATGTTCATACGAATGGACCTGTTCTTGATGACATTTTGCTCTCAGATCAAGAGGTAAGAAGTAATTTCTTTTCTTTATATCCCTCAATGATCTGTATAAAGTGGGCATAGTGGTGTCACTAAGACATGGACATACTGTTTCCCCAAGGGTGGAAGGCCATGGAAAAAACAGGTTCTCTATATGGAAGACTTTTGTTGGGAAGCTTGGCTTTAGTTTCCTTTCTCCATTTGATTTTGTACTCATGCGAGATGGAATCATGGACTTTTTCAAAAGGAAGTATTTTCTAACAGAAAAGTAATTAAAAAGGGTGGAACTTTACTTCTGCTGTTCTGCTTTTTCCCTTTCTTGTATATCTTGTTTTCGCACCTTATGTACATCTGTGTATGAAGTATTATTAATCTAATGAATATGAGTTGAATGAGGATAATGGTCCATTTTTCCAACGCTTGCCTTGAGTTTTGTTCTGAATATGGTGGTCTTGATTTCCAAGAACCCTTTGCAATCTATGGTAAGGTGGCAATTTTGCTACACTGCTGATTAGGTTTCTACGATTTCTGAACGTGAGGATATTTCTTCATTGTTCAATGACAAGAACATAAGATATCTAGCATATGCCAAGTAATGATCAAGAAAAGTAAAGTATACTTGGTGCCTTTAGCAGGTACCTCGAGATTCTGCCGCTGAAACTGCATTTCTCAATCATCATTTAATCAAAACTTGAGCAAGAACTTTGCTCTCAAACAGTGTAAAGGATCTAAAGATTTCTGTCTGCTCTTATTTTCACAGTATATTACAACTGAAGAATAATGCACCTTCTATGCCCAAGTTCATTTGTCGTGATCCAAAAGCCTTGTGAAAAAGAAAACTATATTGCATTTGTTTGGACCTGGATGCCTGTTTGTCTAAAGCCATCTCCTAATAAAAAGACATGCCTGTGGTAGTCTAAACATGTAATGTTTTATAAGAGAACCTACACATGTAGTATTTTATAAAAGTGAACTTAAAAATATGCCTTTGACAATAGGCCTACTTCAGGGGTCACTGTTGAGCCCATATCGCTTGCTTTGGTTACGGATGAATTAAGTATGCATTTACAAGATGATATACCGTAGTGTATATTGTTTGTAGATGACATACTTTGATGATACTGGAGACGTCGTCAACACAAATTTAGAACTTTGTAGGGATGCTCTAGAATCTAAAAGGTTTTAAAATTATCGGAACTAAAATTTAATATATAGAATGCAACTTTAGTAATAATATATTCACCAAAAAAAAAAGAAGGGTTCTGTAATAGCATGACTATAAACCAGGAATTAGTTAAGATTGATGGCCAAAAAGTACCTAAAAGAAATTATTTTCGATATCTTGAGTTGGAAAATCCATGAGAACTGAGAGATTGAGGAAGATATTCCACACAAGATTAGAGTAGGGTGGATGAAGTGGAGATGTGCTTTTGGAGTTTATGTGATCATAACATACTAATGAAACTAAAGGGGAATTTCTATAGGATGGTTGTAGGACCAGCCATACTTTATGAGACAGAATATTGGGTGGTCAAGAAACAACATATCTATAGAATAAGTTCAGCTGAGATGAGGATGTCGAGATGAATGCGTGGCAAGACAAAAATAATAGAATTGGGAATGGACACATCTGAGGGAACTTAGGGGTAGCTCCAAAAGGTGATAAGATGGGGGAAAGTAGACTTAGGTGGTCTGGCTATTTGCAGGGTCAACTTAGAACAACACCATTTATAAGGGGATATTTGGTTCAAGTGGAAGGCTCTAAAAGGGCAAGCGGAAAGCCCAAAAAGTCATGGATGAAAGTAATGAGAAGAGATATAGTGATCTATGGTATGACTGAGGATATGACCATTGATAGAGTAGAATGGCGGAATAAGATTCATGTAGCAAATCCCAAATAGTTATGATAATGCTTGGATGATGATGATGAACCTAAGTTTGATATCTAAATCTTTTCCTCAATGGCCGCATATGCGCTTGAAGTTTTTTTAATGTCTTGACTACTTGAAAAGTCTCGACATTCAGGTGTTAATGGTGATCCTTTTGCACTCCTGGTGTTTTATAAGTTTTATGCTTCGTTGCTTGTATTTGTTTGGTGAGAATGTTTCCCTTTCTTTGCAGATTTCTGATGGGATCGAAAATGAAAAGATTGTAAATAAAACCATCAAAATATACAATGTCGATCGAGCTGTATGTGGTCGCATAGCCGGTGTAATTGCAAAGAAGTATGGTGACACAGGATTTGCAGGGCAGCTAAATATAACGTAAGAGAAACTCATTGGCACATAACATTGAAAGAAAGCACTGCTTCTCATTGACCTTTTAAATTGTGTTTCTTGTTCTGGCCATGCATTTACGTACTAGCCATGCATTTACCTACTAGCCTGTATATTTCAGGTTCACAGGGAGTGCAGGGCAATCATTCGGTTGCTTTTTGACCCCTGGAATGAACATTAGACTTGTGGGTGAAGCCAATGATTATGTGGGAAAGGTAAGTAAATGAAGAATTTTGTGCAATGTTCTAAAACCCAATTGTACAATCTTAGTTTCAATAATTGTTTTCCTTTTCTGAAGGGTATGGCTGGTGGTGAGCTTGTGGTTGTTCCTGCTGGAAACACGGGTTTTAGTCCAGAGGATGCAGCTATAGTTGGAAATACTTGCCTATATGGAGCAACTGGGGGCCAAGTGTTTGTCAGGGGGAAAGCAGGGGAGCGGTTTGCAGTCCGAAATTCTTTGGCTCAAGCCGTGGTTGAAGGAACTGGTGACCATTGCTGCGAGTACATGACTGGTGGATGTGTTGTCGTCCTTGGCAAGTAAGTATTTATTCTTTTGATATATATTCAAACAAAAATATTTTTATGAATGTCGAAGCTCAAAATCCTGGTTTTCAGAGTTGGAAGGAATGTTTCTGCTGGTATGACTGGAGGTATAGTCTACATTCTTGATGATGATGACACCCTTGTGCCAAAGGTGAGCCCTATGGATTTTACAAGCATTTCAATTTGTGCACTTTAGACATGAGACTGCAAATAAATATTAGACATTAATGGCTTGATATCTCAAGATATTCGATGAAAGTTTATCCATTGACCCTCAATTCATATTTCCTGTAGTGCGTTAGCTTAATTTTTATCTCAGTTTTTGTTCTTTGTTGTGGTTTATTCCTGAATCTTATATTTTCAAATTCTTTGCCACCTCTATTTACTCAGGCAAACAAAGAGATCGTCAAGATTCAGAGAGTGGTTGCACCAGCTGGTCAAATGCAACTGAGGAACCTTATAGAAGCCCATGTGGTAAGCTACTTAAACAATTTCTATCTCATTCTTTTAAATCTTGTCAATCTTGTCAATCTACAAATCTCTCTTATATTTATATGATGTCACTGAAATATTTTCCTATCTTGAAGGAAAAAACTGGGAGTAAGAAAGGCTCTGCGATTCTTAAAGAATGGGACAAATACTTGCCTTTGTTTTGGCAACTGGTGCCTCCAAGTGAAGAAGATACCCCTGAAGCCAGCGCAGAAGCCAATCTTAGCTCCACAGGAGAGGTCACCTTGCAATCTGCTTGATCTTTATTCTTTACAATAATTTTTTTTTAAAAGGAGGACAGATTGTAATGCAATCAACAGTTGCCCTGTCAAATCAATACAAGGTCAGCTCTCCATGATAATCTGTAAATATTACAGAGTTTGGAAACAAGCACTTCACATCGAAAGTTCCATTCGAAATTATGGTTCAAGAGTCATGACAAGTCCAACCTAGAAGGCAATTGGAGCCTTTTAGAGGTGGGTTCAGCCTTCACAGCTCTATGTAAAGGTATCCAAGGTCAAATTGATGGCATCTTCTCTATGTGATTAATTGTAGATAAGGGGAAGTGCCCAGTTTTAGGTTATATCCAGGGACCTTGTTTTCTATTGATGATGTCTATAGTTTGTGCTTTAAAGCTCGTTCACGGTTTTCAAAACCTATATTTGTTTCCTGTAAATTATTCACTGATGCTCAATTCACTCATGAGTGAATGGATACCTAGCGTTAATAAAAATTTGGAAGGGATCTTTGATCTAACTGGCTTATTGTATGTCACCACATGACTGAGAATTGTGCTAGCCTTTCATTTCCATCAGACTACTAGTATTGCCGGCAGCAGTGGTAGCAGTAGCGAAGAAGAAGAATAAGAACTATCTTTTTCTTTCTTGGATTGTATTTGAAAAACCTATGAAATGGAAATAGAGAAAACTAAATATGTCAGTTTAAACCAGAGCCCATGGGAACATTTTGACTAACCAGAGCCCTCATGGAAACATTTGAACATTTCAAAGAAATCTCTTTGAAGGAACATGGGAACCCTACAGGGTTTGAAAGCGAAAACAGATTGGTGTGGTTTGCATAAGGTTGCGACCTCAACAATCAAAGTTAGACGCTCCTCCATATTTTGTTGGAAGATGCAATTTTAGTGTCAAATTTTTTTAGGTTGGTGTGAAAATCTATTTTCATATCGAATTATAAAATATTAAACTCCAAATATAGTTCAAATCAATCATATAAACTCTTGAAAATTGACGGTCCATGTAAGGTGATGCAAGATTTACTATTTTGGGATTTGAGATCACTTTTTTTCTCCATATCCATACATCTCGAAGTCAAAATAATCAATTTGATGTTTTTCCAACATCAAAACAACTTTTTTTGAAGGATTTTTGAGTTGCACCTTAATTCTACATTTTAGGATGTCAACGTTTTATTCTGTCCAACAAAATAAAATAAAAAGAATTGACTGATGGAAATTGGCACTAATAGTTGAAATAAAGAGGACAAATGGAAAACAACACAAAATAATTGAAATGAAAAAAAAAGACAATGCAATGTATTTGGATTAAATTATGAAGGAATTCTTGAATGGGAATGATTAAATTATAAAGGAATTCTAGAGTATTTGGGATTGGCTACATGAATCTACACCATTTTATTTTCGTCCATCCTTGAAGCTATTTCTTAGGTAGAGAGGAACATGACGAGAATTAGAGAGAGTGTTCAACATGTGAACCACTTGCATTTGTTCCAGGGTTCGCATATTGATAGCCTCCATCTCTTGAACGAGTGCTCGGAAAGTATGTCTTCGTATATTTGACCATTTTCATATTGTTGTACTTTTTTCATAGCCAGTGATTATTTCATGAGGGAAGGATCTGCATTTTCCTTCTCCAGCCTCTCGCATGCTTTTTGTTGCATTTTCCTTCTCCAGCCTCTCTTGCATGCTTTTTGTTGCATTTTCCTTCTCCAGCCTCTCTTGCATGCTTTTTGTAGCCTTGATTGACATATACTCAGATGCATATGAGTAAGGATGATGCACAGTTAAGATCTCATGCAAACCTTCCAAATAAAGTACGTATCCTATCTTGCGCTTCCACGATGAGTAGTTTGCTCTATCGAACCTTCCGGTCTTCAGGATCTCAGAGATAAAAGTGTGTACAATCATATTTCTTTTCCCAAAGAAAATACAAGACTCAAATAAAACGAATAACACCTCATAATGGCAGCAAGAAACCTATGCTCTGATATCAATTAAATATGGCCAAGGTTCTCTAGCATGGTATATATAGTTTTTTGTTTTTCATTTTCTCACCGATTAGAACACTTACAAATGTCCAAGTACAATAAAACTTGATTGAAATAAACAAATAAACAGCAAAAGTGGTTCTCACTTGTTGCCACTAATTACAACATCTTTCATTCAATTGATAAAACCAACACTATGCTTATAGGAATAAGAAAGACACAAAAAGAAAAATACTGCAAAGCACAAAATAAAGATGCCGAAAAATTTCTTCAACCAGACTTAGTATACCCTACACTAGATCTCTTCCTCTAATGACACACGATATCAATTGTCTATCTCGAATCTACCAAATATGGAAAAGCTTAAGGCTGCAACCCTTACAAACTATGAGAGCATGGAACAACTTGGATCAAGTCACAGCTACAATACCTTAGGCTATAGGTGTGCCCCCCTCTTAGGACTAGGTGGGGCATGCCCCTCTTTCTCCTTAACTAATGAGGGAGAGATGATAGGGAAGATCTTAAATGAGGAAAGAGAGATAGGAAACCCGAGGGGGTGGCTTGCCACCCTAGGGGAGAGAGAGAGAGAGAGAGAGAGGAGGTAGTGAGTAGGTAGTAAGTTAAATTAGTAGAGGTAGGAGACCGTACCCTTAAGTTAAGTTAAGTTTAAGGGTAAGGGGTTTTCGGGTTTTACGTTAAGTAAGTTACGTACTTTAGTTTAGT